GAGAATGATGAGGTTCTTTTTGACAAATTTGTACATGCATTTAACATTGTGATCATTTAAAATCCCATTACTGACTCTTTCTGTTCTTTTCCCTTCTCCTAATTTTCTTTTCCTTCTCTACAGTCTACCTTCCCTCCTACATACTTTGAATCATGTCTAGATGACTTATAATATTTAATACAATGTAAATACAACATGGTTGTTACACTGTATTGTTTAAAGAATAATGACAAGAAAAAAATGTGTATACATGTTCAGTAAAAACTCAATTTTTTTACCAAATTTTTTTTTTAATCTGCTGTTGGTTTAATCTTGTTTCTGGAATCTGCAGATACAGTGGGCTACTTGTCCTCTAAAATGCTGGTAGCAATATTTGAAAAAATGTTTTATATAGACAAAGTGATTTTTATTAAGAGCACTTTAAAACAATAGATTTGTTTTTCTCCAGTTTGCTTTCTAGTCCTCTATCATCAAGAAAAATAAAGTAAAATATTTTGCCTACATTTTTGTGAAATTATATATCAACCCTGTGATACAGAATTGTTTGCTTGACTTTTTATTAAATTAGGGTTAAGATTTTTAACTTCTGCTTCTGCATTAGTGAAGCTGAAAAGTATTATATTTAGTCAAAGAAAGGTTATTTTAATAGGTTATTTGGATATTAAAGAGACCATAGGAAATAAGTGAATACTTAGAGATTGAATAAAGCTCAAATGAGGCTAATTAAATCAGGTTACTTTTATATTTAACTAATTTGATTAATTTTTTTTTTTTGGTACTGGGGATTGAACTCAGGTTCTTGTGCTTGCGAGGCAGGTGGTGGAACCACTGAGCTAAATCCCTGGCCCTAATTTTTGATTTTTTGAGACAGGGTCTTGTTCTGCATGCAGTTCAGGCTGGCCTTGAACTGCCGATGTAGCCCAGGCTGATCTTGAACTCCCAGGAGTCCTCCTCACCCTCCTGAGTGCTGGGATTACAGGCATACACCTCCATACTCGACTAAATCAGGTTAATTTTTTAAAAATTTAAACAATTTTTTGGTACCGGGGATCAAACTTGAGTGCTTGAGCTTGCGGGACAGGTGGCGGCACCACTGAACCAAATCCTTGGCCCAATCAGGTTAATTTTAAAGAAAACACTTTCATGAAAAAGAGCAGCTGAGGAACTTCATGAACACTAAATCAGGTTAATTTTAAAGGCAATATTGATTCAAACCAATTCAAGTACCTTTCTCTTTAAACTTTAGAATATTTTCTGTACATTAATAATGTACAGAAGAATGGCATAAAATTAAAACTACTCTAAAAAAGGTTATATTTTAGTAATGAATTTTTTTTTTGTACCGGAAATCGAACTTGGGACCTTGGGCGTATGAGGCAGGCAGCAGAACCACTGAGCTAAATCCCCGGCCCAATAATGAATTTTGTAGGAAGATATAAATGAGTCAGACTATTTTCTAAATAAAAGCAATAGAATATCATTCAACAGGAAATTAAATATTTGCATTTACAAATAATTTTGTTTTAAGTAGTATAATATTGCTGTTGTATATACTTGTATGTTAACAACATTTCTGGTCTGGTGCATTTTCCTGTTGACATTTTTCAAGTTCCCATGGTTCCAGATAATAGGTAAGGTGGTTTGGTTTATGCTTCTAGGGTTTCACAGAGTGAAACCTGCAAAATAAGTGCTTATAATGTCTCTGTTTTATTGAATCCTAAGTGATTTATCTGTCTATAAAACTTGAACTTCCCATACCCTATTCCTATTTTCTTGAAAGATAATTTAATTTTCTGAATGTATGTAGTGGTTAATTCCAAAGGAAGAATTATAGAAGCCACTTCTCATACTTGGCAGATGTATGTCAGTTTCTGAAATTTGTTTTCCAAGAACTGAAATACTGTCTTGGCTTGCTTGATTTCTTTTTTGTGGTCCAAATTTCCCCCTTGATTTTTGGTGCCTTTGCCTGTGAGACCTTGGTAGAATGTAATCCTGAAAATCCCCACTTCATTTTTTCAAACTCTGGATTTCCATTTGTCATCTTTGATTGCTGAAAAATTAGTTTGAGGGAAAGGCTAAAAATAAATTAATCTTTAGATTACAGGTGGTAAAATCTCCAAAGGTGTCATCAACTTTCTTGTGTTTTATAACTTGTTTGATTCTAGAATAGAGATAAGTTAAAAGGGAGTTTTAAAGCATTTTCTTTTACAATACTTTCATTATGAGTAATATTAATGGATAATCCAAATGAAAATAATTAAGAAGGGACTATAATACCTTTTCCTCATTTGTTTTACAACTCAGTGATTCTCACATGATCCATTTTAATCAAGTTGACTGAGAAGAATTGGAAAATAGATAAGGGTAATAAATGTGCTTGTTCCCGTGGTTGCATTGGCAAGAGGCTTATAATACAGGTCATCTAACTCCCAGTACAGGACTCTCTCCACTAGAACATGCTGTTAGTCTCCACTATTTTCAGGAACACTCTCTGACTAGACAACATCGTGTCCTTATATCAACAGTGTTCAAATTCTGTGCAGCATTATGACTGCCGGAGAAAATGGTGTGCTTGCACAGTACATACTTATTGTAGAATTTTGTGAGTGTTTATTTCATAAAGTTTATATAATGTGTACAGTAAAAGTGAACATTCATAGTTTTTTAGACATGTACTTTTTAACCATCTTAATTTGATTTGAGTGAAGTAAGTATACTACCATAGCTAAAGCAGAATAAACTACTTCTCAGGGAGTAGTCAGAGGGTTTGAGATGTTATTTATATATAATACTCATTTGGGCTAATATCTTCAGAGAACTGACTTTGGAAAGTGTTTTTATTTCAGTGTTTTTATTTTAAATAAGAAAATGTTTTATAAAAACACAGGTTGAGAATTCTTTTCTGAGTGAATCTTAATAATTGGAGTAGGGTTTTATTTAGGAGTGCACATTTAAAAAAATTACCATTCAGCAGAGTACTACATAAGCTGAAGGTTTTTTTTTTAATATTGCTAGTATTTTCCTTTAAATCTGATATATATATATATAACACACACACACACATGTAATGGGACTGTCTAGTTTTTAAAATTCTAAGATTGAATTTCATTATACAAACTGAAGTTCCCTTAACCAGGCCTCCAAATTCTGGTTCCCCCCTCCGAGGTAACTCTGTTTTAACATTAGTGAAGCTGTTCCCTTTAATTTTCAAAAACTTTTAAATACATACATGTATTTAGAGAACTATCATGAAAATACATGGTTTAATGTCATACTTAATGATCTACAAGTCACAATTTGCCCCCTTATAATAAGTCTTGACATTCTTTCTATGCCATGATATAGAGATCTCCTTCATTCTTTAAAAAAATTTGGCATAACGTTTCATAAGACTATAATTCATTTTACTGTTCCTCTAATACTGGCCATGTAAGGATAAATGTGAATGTTGTTTCCTTTCATTTTTGCTGTTAAAATAATATTGTATACTTCCAAAATTTAAAATGCACCTATTTTATACTATAATTTATAGTATAGATGCATTTGACATATACAAATTACTCATTGTATATATAGAAGTCATATTTTTAACTTTTCATTGTGTAATAATTTTTGGTTTGTACAAAGTTGTCAAAACATTACAGAGAGTTTACCTACCTTCTCCCAGTTTAAGAAGAATCAATTTTAGGTATGTAGAAAACTAAGAAAGATGAAAAGAAGATTGTTAATTCCAGGGATAACAATAAGTTGTACACAAAAGTAAATGTAATTGTGGCATAATAATGTGACTTACTAGTGAAGAATAATGTAAATACTGAGTATAATTTAATAAAAAATGTTGATTTAACTTTATTGGGAAGATGAGAGGATGAAAAGTGTTAGGTGACAGGTGTGAAATTATGTGTATGAAATTATTAGCTTTCTACCCCAGCATCTATTTTCCTTTCTAACATAGTAGCATAATATTAAATATAGTTGGGGGCTAATCTTAGTTAAAGGACTACATCCTCCAGCTTCTCTTGCAGCTAGATTTAGTCACATGTCTATATTCAGCAGAAGTATCTAGTGGTACTTCAAGAAGACTACTTAAAAGGGAAGGATTGGGGTATTATGCTGCCATCTGGAACGGGATTGTAATGATTGGCACTCTGCCAACATCATGCACTACAAGAATAAAGCACACACACCAAAGATGGTAGGCCAGAGAGTTAGAAGGGTCCTGGGGTCCTGATTACATTATAAACATTATAAAGCTATCATATCAGCATCAGACAGGATACCAATGTATTTGTTTTTGTTTGTTTTTTTGTTTTTGGTACCGGGGATCAAACTCAGGACCTTGTGCTTGTGAAGCAGGTGCCGGAACCACTGAGCTAAATCCCCGGCAATGTATTTGTTTTATGTGAAATAGTGTGTTTGATCATATTCAAACCTTAGGCCTATGTATCAGAACCAGATCTTAACTGATTATTAAATCACTAGATAATATCTAAAATGAAATTTTAAAAAATACAAGTTATTTAGTAATATGGAGATAAATGATAGAAGAAATAGGAGAAAATGGAAAGTTGTTGCCTTTGGCAGTAGAAATTGAGGTAAAGGAAAATGATTACTATTTTTGCTTGTAACTCAGTACTAATTTACATTTTAAATTAGATATATGTTTAATTAAAATTATATTCATATTTGTTTATAGTTTAATTAATATTTATATATACATGCTCATTATAAAAATTTGAGCGATAAGACCTTAGAATAAAAGTTCTGCTTTCCTTCTGTATTCTTCACCTTTTTTCTCACCTATAACTTCTACTCTCCTCCCTAGGTATAATGGCTATTTGGTGTGTTTCTCTCCATATTTTTTTCTGAACATTCATATTAGCATATACAAAGATGCATAGTTTTCTTCTACTTATTTCTACTAATAGTATACTTACTTAATTTAAAAATACTGTTCATTGTTGAAAATCATATTGGACATTGTTTGTTTATATTTTTAGAATTTGGGATGCAAGCATGCAGTTAAAAAATCAAGAAAATGAGTTCCAGAATTACAAAAAGAACTGGGTTGTTTGCAACATGAATTAAAAATTAAACACAGAAAATCACAAATTTGCAAGTAAGATTATCCCTAGAAAATGGAGAATTATAAAGATTGAAAAGATATATTCAATACTAACTTTATAAACATTCAAACACATTTTAGTAACATGATTTCTGTATCCGGTATGATTGAGAAAAATGGAAGTTATTTCACTTTTTTATAACCATTGTATTAGCTGAATAATTTTATTAATCAAACATTTTTGGGGGGAGGTACTGGAGATCGAGCTTGGGACCTTATGCTTGTGAGGCAGGCAGCGGCACCACTGAGCTAAATCCCCGGCCCATTTTACTAATAAAATTTGAATTGTACATACATTTTGTTCTGTGAACACCTTGTTTTGTCCTTATTTTGAAGTAACATTTAAAATGAAGGCACAGTAGCTAGTCCATTTGTCTCTTGATCAGCATTTCCTGGCATATTTGATCTCCTGAGTGATAGTTCAGTGATATAAAATAATAGAATAGGGAAACTTTTCTAAATGATAATAATAACCTTCTCCTTATATTTAGAAATCTGCAACATAAATAATGTTAATTCTGCTTTTATGTCATCTTTGGAGGTTTATAGTATCTAAAGATAAAATCTGATTCCATAAAGAAACTAAGGAGTACATTTTTCCTAAAAATAGCATTATTATATTGAGGATGTTTATGAGAATGATTCCTTGTGGATTTGAGTAACTTTTAGCTCTTAAAGAAGGGAAATAAGTTAAATCAACATGGCAAATGACACAGGTCCAAGATAACAAAAAATATCTTGAGTATTTTGAATGTTTTTTATTTTTAATCAAACTGTTATCAGAAACATTCTGTTAAAAAATTCTCTAGGCTAATGAATTTTTTTATCTATTCTCTGGTGATAATCGACAGGGCATCTACCTTTCATAAATGCCTCACACGTAACTGAAGCTAAGTAGTTTTTAATGAATAAATGAGAGAAACCTAAAACAGATGACCATTTTTTGTTGTCAGAAATCCTTTTGGCCCTTTTCTAGAAACCTGGTATTGAACCACCAGGATGATACTGCCCAGATGGCCCCAACTCTCCTACTTTAATCAAGACCATAAGTAATAGTTCCTGTTTCCTATAAAAGCTTTGGCCTAAGTCTGTTAAGGGAAGTCCTAGCTGTTTTATCAACAAATTTGATCATAGATGGTAAGATTGACTACATTTTTGAAGTTAGACCAGGGTTAGAGCACATCATTACTGTTGCTTCAGGATATTATGGAACAGATACAGTTTATCTTCGTTATTTGCATCTTTGCATGTTATTTGCAGTATTTCAAATTCTTGAAGAAATGTAGGCATATATTTAAACATTATTTTTGTTCTATATTTTAACTTTGAATTATATATTTATATATTATTACATATATTTATTTATTTATTTACTTGTGGTGCTAGGATGGAATCCAGTGCTTTGAATATGCTAGGCAAGCATGCTACTACTGAGCTATGTCCCCAACCTGAATTATACTTTTCAACTTCTTGTTTTGTTCACATTTTCCATAGATCCATGATTTTTGTTCATTTTCAGCTAAAAAGTCACAAATTAGGAGTTTGGAATTTGACATACAAAGAAATATGCTAAAAATAACTTTGGAGTAACCATTCAACTAGACATCTAGCATAAATTAAAGTTTGTGATAAAGAATGAAAATAATTCTTGGTTTTATTTATCCTTTTACTAGTAGGTACATAGGAAAAGATATACTGGTAAAAATAAAATAAAACCAAAGGCTGTAGGTTTCAGTAACTTTTGTTTTATCACTAAAAGCTGATTTAAGCTAATTTATCGATTATTTTAAAATATCTATCAGAATATGAAATCAGTCCTTCAGATAAAGAAAAGGAGCTATAATCTCTCTTAGACAGGTAAAGGAAAGAAGCATCTGAGCATTCTCCTCAGATGTAATCATTTTTTAAAACTGGGCCCAAAAGGAACTTTGAATAGATCAATGATCTTTGATTTTGGGTCACATTGCTCTCTTTAGATTATTCTCATTTGTTCAGTTACAATTGGACTTAATCACTTAGCTTCCAGCAAAGTGTTCTTCATGCTCTTTGTTTTTCCTGACATGATTTCCAACATTTCTTTTGCATGAGACTGATTGGGAGTATGTGTGGTATGCCCCAGTTGGCTTAGCATGTAAAAAGTGCATTATTCACAACAGATTGTCTTTTGAAAATGAAAATTAACTGTGGAAGACCTGTAAAATAGATACTAAAATCCAGTATGGAAGATAGGTACATTATACTTCATATAAAATTATGTATAGATCCAACATCTAAATTAGGTTGTATTCAAAATACTCTTGACACAGCTTACTTTTGGAGGACTCCTATTGTGAACCTTTCATAAGATTTTTGAAATATAAAGTACTTAGAACTAGCTGGAGATGGTGGTGCATGCCTGTAATCCCAGCATTTAGGAGGCTGAGGCAGGAGGATCACTATGAATTTGAGGCCATCCTGAACTATCTACCTTGTCTCAAAAAAAAAAGACTTTAGTTTTCCTTATTTGAAATCTTGACCATTACATTCCTGTTATGTTCAAAGCTAATTTCAAAAATCTTTCCTCTTAGCTTTCTTTCACTTTATTTCTTCAACTTCATTGAGGCTTCCAGTATTTTTTTTCTCATTTTGCCTACATCTTCTAGATTTATTTTGTTTTCTAACTTTGATCCTTTAGTTTAATACCCCACATCTTTTTAAAAACAGCTTAAAATGAGACAGAATTTACATACCGCAAAATCTACCCCTCTTAAGTGGACAATTTAATGATTTTAATAAGCCTACAGAGTTGTGCAAGTTACCAATATTAAAACATTTGAGTCACCCCAACTCTAAATTACTAATGATGCCTAGCATTGTTTCATATGCTTATTAACCATTTGTATATCTTATTTGATGAAATATTTATTCAAGTCTTTTGTCCATTTTTAAATTAGTTTTCTTATGATGAGATTTTTAGAATTTTTTTATATATTCTGGATAAAGGTCTTCTATATGAAATATGCTTTGCGAGTGTTATCTCCTAAGCTGTGGCTTATGTTTTCATTTTCATAGTGGTGTGTTTTGAAGAACAGTTGTTAATTTTGATGAAATTTATCCATTTTTTTTTATGGATTGTACTTTTGGTGATATATTTAAGAACTGCCTAAGGCAAAGTCACAAAGATTTTTTTCCTATAGTTTCTTCTAAATTTTTTTTAGCTCATATTTAGATCTATGATTCATTTAATTTAGTTTTCTTGTATGAGATAAGAATTTACATTCATCTTTTTTTCATGTGGATACTTACTTTATCTAGCATCATTTGTTGAAAAGGCTACTTTTTCCCTATTGATTTGCCTTCGAACCTTCACCTAATGTCAGTTTACCATGAATAGAAGGGATTATTTCTAGATAGTCTTCTCTAGTCCATTAATCTATATGTGTTTTCTTAACCACACTCTTGAATACTGTTGTTTTCAGTAAGTTTTTTTTCCCCAAAGCAGATATTTTTATTAGTACCCTTATTTTATAGATTAAGAAACTAGGTAGGCAAAGAAGCAGTAGAGCCAGGATTTGAACACACTATATCTGGCACCAAAGCTTGCTTTCATAATCATCATATTTCCTTTCCAAGTATGGACTCTGTCGAGTATCTTTGCCTGCTCAAGGAATATACACCACACTCAAGGAAAATCTGACTAAGATATGGTTAATGGTTATTGCAGAATTTCACTCTCTTAAAAAAAAGGAAAGAAAAAGACAGTCTTACTATGTATCCTAGTCTGGCCTCGAACTCATGATCCTCCTGTCCCAGCCTCCCAAGTGCTGGGATTACTCACATGTGCTACCACAATCAGCTACTTTCTATTAAAAGGAAAACAAGCTTTAAAAAATAAAAAAGTCATAAAATTATCTTAAGGAAAATACACCCATATTTTCTATCACTACCTCAACAGATTAGTATTCCATTTTAAAATTTAAATACAGTTTCTCTTCTAAAG